TTCCGAAACTTCTACACCCCCAAATAACCCATGTTTAATTCTTTCAGTTCCTATCTTTTCTAATTTCAACGTTTTAGCAGCATATTGACTTATGTACGTGTTCTGAACTTCCGGTGTCTATTAGCAATCTTAAATAACCCTTTAAGGTTTTCCCAGCTACCCCTACGACCAAAGTTTGTAAATAAACTTCAGAACGGTTGCTTTGATTCGAAAGTACTTTATTCTCAACTTCCTGGACAGTTTTGATCGTTCCCTTTTTACTCTCGGAATTAATTCTGTTGCACATAATCGTAGAATGCTGAATTAGAGTGACAATGGGGTGCAAAAAATGTTAGAATCACAAAATTTGCTGATGTGACCCTTATTTTGTAAACACCTAAAACAAGTGCCATTTTTGCGTAGTATTTCAACCTTTTCGTCATTCTTTAGTTTCTGGGCAATAGGACATTTATGGCTTGAATGGGAAAAATCTCCGCAAAAAAACGCATGCCTTAATCAATTTTTCTTTAATACCCGTGGACACTAAATCAGAAGCAGCAGAAGAAGCTTTCGTTTCTAATTTATTGCTCTTTCCATCGCTGAAATGACGAGTGTTTATTTTCTGGACTGCATACGCAGACTGACGGCGCCCACTATTCGCTGTCGAATGCTCTGAATTCTTATTTATGACTTCTGCCCTTTCGCGTGAATCTAAACATTGAGCTATAATCAAGCACAGGCTTTTAATATTACAATATGCACTTCCATTACTCATTCTGTTAATCTCAAGCAAAATATCTTGGGGAAGTGATTTCAGAATTATTGGACATAACACACTTGATAAATTCTCGAGAGACTGACCCAAATTTTCTAAACATCTTAATTCGATAGAAATATTATCATAAAATTTTCTAAAGGCGCGAACATCATTCGAGATTTTCAACGGTTTAGTGTTCAAAATGTTATTTATGTGAGTGTAAATGAGCACATCTGTTTTCGCAAATCTTTCTTTTAGAAGATCAATTGCGGAATCGTAATTAGCAGCAGTAATCGGTAATCCTTCGACTGTATTTAAAGCAGAACCACCTAAATGAGCTTTCAAATAATTAAATTTGTCTATTTTATCTAATGAATCATTTTTATGAATGGCAGACTCGAAACTGTTCCAAAAGGTTAGCCAGTTGTTTATATCTCTGTAGAATTTCGTTAAAGTTAACTTAAGTAATTTAATTCGAACAGACTCGTTATGTTTTGGTTCGCTTTGACTATCAGTACTGAACTGGTTATTTACTACCGTTTCAGTAGATTTGCGTTTTAATTCATCGATTCTTTTGGAGGTACGGAAACTGCATTTAACGACCTTTTGGACGATGATATTCTTCAGATTTTTGGAATTCAGCATCAAATTCTTCGACTTTAAAAAGAGGTTCTAATTCTGTATCGACACTTTTAAGCGATTCGAAATTATTCTTTAATATTTCTAAATTTTCTTCCAAATCATGAATTTTCGGATCAATTTCCGAAAGCTGCGATTCCAAATCTTTAAGCGATTTCGTTACTGATGTTCGGAGAGCTGCGCGCTTCTTTTTTAATTTATTTAAGATCTCTTCAGACATGTTCTTAACAGTTCAAAAATTCAAAAATGTAATCAATAATTGTATTCTTAATCTTTATTTTCTAATTTAAATTCTTATTCTTAGCTCGGGCGTCCCGGCAGGGATGCCAAAAATTTGTTGTATCTCTCAATAGAATTCTAAAGGTAAAAAGAAAATCTCTTACCTTTTCTTTCACCCGGGAGCCGAGCTTGTTCCATTCTAATTCTTATTCGATGAAAAATATCTAAACAATTCCAAGCTTTTGCATAAAAACTGACACTTCTGTATAAATAAAGATATTATATTTAGATACAGTTATATACAATTATTAGATTACATGAAATTACGCGCTCTCCAGCTAACAGTCAATCGAGTTCGGATTCAGAGTTCTAACTACGTTCTTACGTAAGATTATTCTCGAGTTTAGATGTAATGGTGCTGATAGTTCGGAGTTTAGATGTGGAGGCGCTGATAGTTCGGAGTTTAGATGTAACAGACACAGTTTAGACTTAAGCGCTATTTTTAGGGCAGATAGATGAAGTTCCCAAGTGAAATAGAAAATAAAAGAGATTATAGTGAATTAAATTTAGAAGTTTGCTTTCATATTTTTTATCTTACATATACATATATATTCTTTTTCGCTATTTCGTTTTAATGTTTATATGTTTTAAGTTCTGTTAGTTCCTCCACCCGTAATATTTTGATTTGTAGCAAAAAAATAGTGACAAATTCTTTATTTACTGTATTCTAAATGAGACCTTTTAAAAGTTTTGGCATGAAATTTTAGTATAAAATGAGGATGAACCTAATTACAGATAAATAAATCTTACTGCAGTCAAATTCCAGTTTATTGGAGTAATAATGGGAAGAATGACCATGTTAACTTAGAATCACAGTTAATTCAAGGTCAATTAAAAATACACAGGCAAGAGAAATAATCCATATTATAATTAACTGAAAAATGACCCATATTATAATTAAGAGAGCAAGAATAAGTTCATTTATTTATGTAAATTAAACCAGTGTTCAAAGGTGTAGAGAAATATGTCATACAGCGATAGCAGCGCCCTCAACTGAAGTAGAAGTCAGTTAGATGGGAATGGCGCATTAAGCCATATTCTTTGATTAGTAGAATTTTTCGTATGTTGATTAACTAACAAATTAACTGTACATATTGTAAATAAATATTAACTTAACCTTGAATATAAATCAATTATAGATATGATGTTCTTCATTTAGAAAAAATGATTTTAGATACGGTAGAAGTTTCGCCTTAGAATTAAAAAACCCTTTCGCGACATGGTGCATCGGTGCCATGAACATTTGGCCAATTTAAAACTTTGTGTTTTTTTATTTTGGATAGCACTTTGTGCGAATACAGCCAAGGTAAGCCTGTATTTTCTATTTTTGATATAATATGGAAGATCTTATTGCTAAACTGAAATCAAAATGAAATTGAGTCATTGAGGACTGCAATGTCCAAGATATTAAAGAAAATTGAAATCGAACTGAGTAGTAAAGATGGTAGTAGTATAAATATAAATGCATTAGAAGAAATTTTAGACCAGTTAAATGAAAAATCAAAATCCTTGAGTGATTTAGACGCTCAAATAGAATGAGAATTAAAAGTCCAAGCAGAATAATTTGAACTTGGAATCTCACCCGTTTTGGAATATGAAGAGAAAATTCAAGTGTGGCAATTTAGAGGAAAGAAAAAGTTGAAGAAATTAAATAAGCATGAAAATTCGGACAAGGCAAGTAGGGACATTTCTAATGAAATCGTTAAAGAATCTGAAAACAAAAGTAACAAATTCTAAATTTCAAGATTTATTTAGAACTTGCTTATCATGCGCATGCACTACGGGAATCAACGGCGGTTGCCAACACTATTTGCATGCCTGCATTATGGAATATTGGGTTCTTCTAAGATAAGCTGGAAATTTATCGCAGAAGGTTGTAGACCACAAATAGTCTATAGGTTGAGGTTCTCAAGGTGCACTATTTTTTCCAAAATGCAATGCACTTAAAATTAATGAAAACCAATTTCAGCTAATGCTATTTGAAGAATAAAATGATGTCTTCCATATACATGACAAACATTTATTTAAGCTATGAAGACATTGAACAACAGAGTAGAAACATGATATTACACAGCGCTTAGCACTTCTTTCTTACATGCGATACTCACCATTGACATTGGCTAACTACCTAGAAAAATATTACGCAGCAGAGAACTTGCTTATCATGCGCATGCGCTAAGGGAATCAACGACAGTTGCCAACACTATTTGCATGCCTGCATTATGGAATATTGGGCCCTTCTACTAGTAATCTTAAAGTCTATTCATTTTTATGTTCCCCATTTGCAAGAATTCTCCCAGAAAAACTAAAAATTCATCCACTTTTAAATCTTTCCAAAAAGTTATTCATGACTTTTCTTTCATTTCAACGCTATGTTCTATTTTTAGTGCATAAAATTTATTTCTTAGACAAATTTTTCTGCAAATCCTTCGGTAAGGAAAAGGCGAAAATATCCAACAGCAGTACTTTTAGTTGGCTGTATTAGCAAGGACTCGGTTTTTGTAAATGTATTACTTATCATACAACTTGAATCTGTCTTCCAGTCAACAAGACTGTTCTTCCCAATTGCCGGAAATTGTTGAGTTGTATCTTCTGTATCAGAATCTAACATTTCTATGGTATCCACCGCAACATGTCTATCTCCTTCTGATTCGCTCGAAGAATCCCAACCGTAATCTTCATCATCTGTGCTCTCATAATCAGAAAGGTCACTCTTTTTTAGTAATTCTAATATTTTGTTTCAAGTCAATTTTTTATTTACTTTCCTTTTCTTAGGCTGTGAATCAAAATCCTTGAGTGATTTAGACGCTCAAATAGAATGAGAATTAAAAGTCGAAGGCCCTGCAATACCTGTAGTGTTCCCCATTTTTTAAAATGGATACTAAAGAAACTGAAACAAAATTAAAATCCACACACCTAAAATATAAAAATAATGCTTAAAAGAAACTGAAACACAAAATTAAAAAACCACACACCTAAAATATAAAAATAATGCTTCACTAACATGCCTCAAAAACCTCTTCGCTCAGCCTCCAAAGCTGCACTAAAAGTAAAGCATATAACTTATCACAGTCGATCGTCGTCTCATAGCGTCACAGGCATACGAGGTAGCGCTATGCTGATGCGCCAGTGTGTCAGTGAATGTGTTAATGTATAAAATCTTGCATGAAAGAAAAAGGATATTAGATTAGATGAAAATTAAGGCAATTTGGAAAAACTTTGAAGCATTGCATAAGTGTTTCTTTATTCTTATCTTGAAATTGAATTAATACTGTGTTTTTTCAGTTTTAAATTTTTATTTCATTTATTCCTTTATTTTAAATTTTTATTATCAACTCTTTTTTAGATCGGCAGTATTAAATGCTGGATATAGAGTATCCATGTCTCATACAGTTCCCACCTCAATCAAAACTGATGCTCCTCAAGAAGTCATCTGGAGTATTATTAAAACTTGGGTGTGTTTCTTATATTAAATTATAAAATATATCCAAAAAGGGTTTTAATAGAATTTTAAAGTTATTTAAATTTTTTCAGTAGCATAGTTAGGTAAAAAACAAGTTTAAATAAATTTGCATTTAAAGAGATTTTATAATTTTAAGCTAAAATAATATATTATTGAAAAAATATGAAACAGAGACAATTTAAAGTATGTTATATTCAGCATTAAAAGTAATTAAATTATGTGTGAATAAAAATGTACAACTGCTGAGATTTTTTTAAAAATTATTAATTCTTTTGCTGATATATTCCTGTATGTGTTGCATAGAATTAATTTTTGTTTGTTCAGTAGTACAGATTTTTTATAAGCCTTAGTGTGTTTGTTTCTATTTATAAACACTTTGAAATTGGTTTCACTAATTACTCACATCAATTAATTCGTCAGTCGTAAATGAATTCCAGGTTTTTTTTTTAATTCTTTAATATTTTGTATTTAGTATGCACAGCTAAAACTGAGTTTGCTAATGGCTATATCTCATTGCAGTATATTGCTAAGATGGGAAAATAAATTAATATTTTTTCATTTTTACCTTTCAATTGTTTATTTGTTTAACTTTATTGTGTACATTTCTTTAAGTTAGGCAAGGCAAAATCCCGGGAAAAAAACTTTTGAAGAAAATTTATCAAAAAGAATCATGTCCAAGAAACCAAGGTATGCTATATCTATACATAAATTAAATAACTTTAAATATGCATCCATATTTTTTCTCTCAAATATATATATATATATATTATATATTTATGTGTATTATTTTTTATGGAGTTATTTCAAAATATATGCTAAACAATATTATTTAGAACCTTATTTTAAATTTTATTTGAAATTTGTTTGTTACGCAATAATTAAAATAACATATTATTACGAAATGTACAGGCACCGTAAGATGGCTTCCCCGCAAAGCAGGTTTAGGGTTGCCATAAAATGGCAAGAGAAGGCAGAGTTGCCATATTTGGCAATAAATTGCCCATTTGGCGACAAAATTACCGATATACCATGGATGGATGGATGGAGAACCTTCTGGAACGAATTCCCACCATTTCAGCCCAGAATGTTCTTGAACACAAGCTGAAAGCTATATTAACCCTGCTGGTCCGCAGTCAGTTAGTGTGTCTCATCTATTGGGTTGGCAACTATGTAATTGCGGATTTCACTCATAGATGGCTTCAGCTGAATTTTTAGGGTTGCAGATGTAGTACAAATGTAAAACACATTTTATTATTTGATAGTTGGCAATTCAACTGTCAATCAGTAAAAAATGTTTTTTGATCGGTTGCGTAGTTTTCGTTTGGCGTTCGTTGAAAAATGGAAAATCAAAAGGAACATTTTCGTCATATTTTGCTTTTTTATTTCCGCAAAGGGAAAAACTCATTGCAAGCTCATAAAAAGTTATATGCTATTTATGGTGATGAAGCCTTAAAAGAATGGCAGTGTCAAAATTGGTTTGCCAAATTTTGTTCTGGTGATATTTCACTCAAAGATGAAAAACGCTCTGGTCGTCCAGTTGAAGTTGATGACGACCTAATCAAAGCAATAATCGATTCAGATCATCACAGTACAACACGTGAGATTGCAGAGAAGCTTCATGTGTCATATACATGCATTGAAAATCACTTAAAACAACTTGGCTATGTTCAAAAACTCGATACATGGGTTCCTCACTAACTGAAAAGAAACGCATTTAACACAACGCATTAACAGCTGTGATTTGCTAAAGAAACATAATGAAAATGATCTATTTTTAAAACGACTGATAACTGGTGATGAAAAATGGGTTGTTTACAACAATATCAAGCAGAAAAGATCGTGGAGCAGGCCAGGTGAACCAACTCAAACAACATCAAAAGCTGATATTCATCAAAAGAAGGTTTTGTTATCAGTTTGGTGGGATTACAAAGGAATTGTCTACTTTGAACTCTTACCACCCAACCGAACGATCAATTCTGATGTCTACATTGAACAACTAACGAAATTAACAATGCAGTTGAAGAAAATTGGCCCGAATTGACAAATCGAAAAAGTGTTGTATTCCATCATTGCAATGCAAGGCCACACACATCTTTGGTCACTCGGCAAAAATTATTGGAGCTTGGTTGGGATGTTTTGCCACATCCACCCTATAGTCCTGACCTTGCACCATCTGATTACTTTTTGTTTCAATCTTTACAAAAATCCTTGAATGGTAAAAATTTCAATAATGATGATGATGTCAAATTGTACCTGATTCAGTTTTTTGCTAATAAAAACCAGAAGTTTTATGAGCGTGGGATTATGATGCTGCCTGAAAGATGGCAAAAGGTCATTGATCAAAATGGGTAATACATTACAAAATAAAGTTATTTAGTTCCATGAAAAAATTGTCTTTGATTTTCTAAAAAAAATCCGCAATTACTTAGTTGCCAACCCAATAGTTAGTACATGCGGAGACGATCGAGTTGACAGCTGAGCAGCGAGTGCATCAAAGAGTCTCTTAGTGTATTGCAGTTAGTGCATCGTCGAGAGAGTGTGTTAAGCTCCGGGAACGACTGAACCGAAGAGTTGGGACCTGTGCTCTGTGTGTCATCGACTGCATCACGAGTTGTGGTGTGGAGAGTCTCGAGAGTATGTGGAGGTCTGAGAATGGCAGAGTCAAGAGCTGTATTCTGGTGCTTTGCAGTGAAGCTGTCTCCACCGTTATTGCCTGACAGTGTGAAGGCTGTGTCGCTGATTGTTCCAGCGTGTTTATAGTAGACCTTCGACGACTGTAAAAGGAGCTGTCCTGATTAATATTGGCTAAATAAAGTGTGTTTCGATACTTCATAAAGTGTCATCGTTATTCACTCCAAATCCACATAAACCCTGTACGAACGTGGAAGAAAATAATGCAACAACTATCGATAGTTTCAGAAAAAAGAAACGTAACAATATTTTATATCAAATGTTTTTCACCTGGTTTGTTGTAATTTACAGTACGACAGAACTGGATGTAAGTTAATTTCAGGGTCTAGATTGTTTCTCCATTTTCTATGAATACTGAAATCTATGTGTTAGATATATATCATAAAAATAAAGAATTTGGAAACTTGCTATCTAAAAAGCATTAATGTTTTACTCAATTATAGTTTGCACTGTCAATTTTGTTTAGCACTGTTAATAAAATTAGATATGTCAGTATTATATTTGGCATTTTTTTTTTTTTTTTTTTTCATAATGACAATTTTTCTAGTCTTGAGGATTATATTTTTAATTATAAATCACCTTATAAGACAGAAAAACATGAAAATTGCCCTTACATAAATTCATAGTTTGATTGATATTAGAACCAGAACAAAACAGTGCTATTCTGTATAAATAGTATAATAGAGCTCTTTCAAAATGGACAAATTGTGAAATCTTTTGACTGCTTACCACAAACTAAATGCAGGATGAAGGACAGTGAATCTTTTAATTGTCTGAAGTAAAATATTAAGAGAAGACTATTCTGCTAAGAATAACAAAGTTGACATTTTTCAATTCTGTGTGTACAGTAGTCATATGTAATATCTATATATGTGTATTAAGCTTGGACCGCTGCCAGAACTGATGCAACCAATACGGCTGCATGAGATGGCAGAATTTAGGGGCAGCAAAATTTTTAGAATTTGGAGCAGCAAAATTTAGGAATGCAGAATTTTTTAGAATTTAGGAAAGGCACCGAACAGTAGAATTCAGGGCTGAAAATATTTTTGGAATTTAGAGAAGCTCCATACAGCAGAAATTAGGATCTGTGGAGATTGTAGTAGGCAGCAAAATGTCTAGTGCCAACCCTGGCATTGAGCATTGTGAAGTAAACCGTACTTTTTTTAAGAAAATTATTCTTCAGTGACTTTTCAGCTCATAGTTGGCTCTGGCCTTCTTTAGAATTTCATGGCCTTAATCTTCCAATTAGACCTGCAAGTTAGACAAGTCTTTTCCCAGACAGTCTAGTCATTTGTGTTTCAGTCTCGATCTTTTTTGAGTGTGCATTGGCTTGTATAGGAATTTGTTTTTTTGTGATAGTTCTATTTTCAAGCTTCTGATTAGGTGAACAACCCATCTTAATCTTTGGGTGCTGATAAAATTTATGATGTCTGCATACCTTATGTCTTGTAGATTTCTCCATTGGTTCTTCTTCTTTAAATGCCATTTATATGAATACCTCCAACAATGCTTCTGAAAATCTTTCTGTCAAAGAGTGGAAGTATTTTTTTTAACCTTTTCATTCACTGTCAAAGTTTCAACTTCATATGCCAAACAGGTTTAATTAAGCATTTGTAAATCGTCAGTTTAATTGTTTTTATTTCAGATACTTTAAACCAAAAGAGCATTGGGTACCAATTTTTTTTTTTTTTTTTGCTTTGTTTCAATTTTCAGGAGAAATATTGTTTCCTATATTAACTACAAAGCCAAGATATGTGAAACACTCAACAACTTTATCAATTTCTAAGAAAGAATGATTAAATTTTCTCTTAGTGCTTGGCATATATTTATTTTTGTTTGGTTTACGCTAAGGTGCATTTTAGCTACTTCAGCTTTCAGCAAGAAAAATGCCCATTTGAGTGCTTCAGAAGTTCTAGCAAACAAGTGCTACAAATGCCATTCATTTGTTAAAAGTTATATTATGATTAATAAAATTAGAACTTTAGGAAGCTAGTAAGATGGGTTTTAAAGAAGTAACACTTTTTAAAAAAGAAAAAATTTAAAAAGTATTTGTGTTTGTTGAATTCTGAAAAAATAATTTTCTGAATGTGTCTTTTCTTTTTATGTTTCGTAGCATTGATGTGTCTTTTGAACTTCATCCAGATGCAGATCCCCAGTCACGCAGCAATAATTTGCTGCGTTTTCAGATAAATCCTGCTCCCAACTGGGGTCCTAAGTGCAGAGCAACGACTAGGTAATGATTTAGGTTGACTTATGTGTTTTTACAATATTAATCCTCTCTACACATCATGTGTATTCAAGTTCTGGCATTCTAATTAAATGGAATTTTATATTTTGAATGGCATATGAAAATTTTTCTTTTTAAACATGAATTTCATTAACTTAAGTAAAGAGATACACTTTTCAGAGAAAAAAAAAAAAAAAAAAAAAAAAAAAAAAAAAAAAATTAAAAAATTAATAGGGAATTTTATATTTAAAATTAATTAAATTCAGTTGAGTTCTTTTTTAAAGTTTTAATTTAGATAGTTAAACCACTCGTATCTATTAGAAAAGGAATTAAGAAAAATCTTTAAAATATAAATACAGTAAGACCCCACTTAACGCTGTTTCGTTTAGCGCTGTTTCGGTTTAGCACTCTTTTATTTCAACCCGGGGATTCTCCGAAATTGTCCGCAGAGCTAGGTTTCCAAATAACATATCTGAAACAGTGTAGTTGTGTTTCTTGCTTGGTGGACGCATTTTTATCATTTGAAACATTTGTTGACATTATTGTAAGTTTAAATTTGTATAATACTATAACGATTAATACAGTGACAAATATTATGATCTTTAGTTTTTATCATGGGTGATAATAAAAAACAAGAAAAGAAAGCAACCAGAAAAAGCATTTCACTGGAAACTCAAATGCAAGTGATTAGAAGATTAGATTCTGGTGAACGAACGTCAATCTCAAATTAGTGCTGCATTGATTTTGGCAACTTCGACAATAAGGACAATTCTTAAGAATAAAGAAAAAATACTGTCATCGGCAACTGTAACTACGTCAAGCTCTGCAACTATAATTACCCGTTCTAGAAATAACATTATAGAGGAAATGGAAAAACGACTGTCTATATGGATTGACGACGAAATTGAACGCAATATGCCATTAAGCCAATCTATCATAATGCCTTCTTAACAAAAAGGCAGAAAATTGGAAACCCAGAATAGACTGAATGATCTGACTGAGAATTTTATTTGTTTTTTAAAAGTATATGCGTTTATATATTGTTTTTATTTTTGTAAGAAATATAAGTTTGATTTTATTTTATTAAAAAAAAAAAACATTATTAAATTTAATGCCTAACCATTTTTTATCCGTCTTCCCCTATCCCCATTATTTACATGTTAAGATAGCCTCGCTTAGTGCTGTTTCGCATTACGCTCTACTTCGATGGAACGTATCCCCCGCGTTAAGCGGGGTCTTACTGTACTAACTAAAAAAAAAAAGAATAGTTACGCTGTTTAGTAGTAAAAAATTATATTTTGATTAAATTATATTATATATTAACATTATAACATTCCAAAGTTTTACAAAATGCACTAGAAAAAACTGAGAACTAGTAAGAACAATTTTAAGAACTATAGCAGAAATGAAGGAGTCAAGGCGGAACATTAGAACAGTCAGATTGAATCTTTTTGCTGCTGCTAGAGTGATGGACCATGAGGAGAACAAAAATGATTCAGTATTTCTTAATTTTTGCTTAAAAAAAGATTCTTAAAATTTTTTTACTGGTTTTCAATTTTTTCTATTGCATTTTGTAAAACTTTTGAAGGTTATATGTTTAGTATTTAATGTAACTGCATTGCATATTATATATATATATATATATATATATGTGCAAGATATAAGATATGAAAATCAAAATTATAACTTAAATTAGCAATATCCCATAATTCTTCATTTTAATGTGTATATCTTCACCCTTTTTTGTTTTAAAGGTAGATATTGCTTATAATAGTTCTCCTGGACTGCCTTTGAAAATTAATCAGTTCAATTTCATGTTTGCATATGTAATCCTACAATGCAACAGCTCTTATAAAATCACAAATGAAAATTTCAGCGACTCTATATGTATTGGTGTTGCTAGATGATTACTTTCTTGCTTTCCTCTTGCCCTGCTGGCACATCATTTCACTGCTCTGTTTTGCCATTTTCTAAAGATGTGAACAGCTGTACAAAAGTTTGGCATGTATGTCACATCCATAATGATGCTGTGTAATTAAAAATATGTACTGCAAGAATTAAGTGTGCAAAAATAAATTGTGTCTTGTAGTCTTCAGCTATGTTTGTCCGTAAATGTCATCTTTTGTATCTATGCTGCCCTCTTCTAATCACCAAGATACTTACAGAATTTAATTTGTATAAAATGAAAAAAAAAAAAAAAAACATCAACTTAAAAACCTCCTCAAGGAACCATTAAATATAAATAAAATAAGTGACAAAATTAATAAATTGTTACAAACATTACACTGATTCTTGTTGTTTAACTTTCCCATTAATCTCAAGTTATCAAGACAAAAACTTCTGAAACTCTACAAGATGAGGTAAAGTTTTCTAGAACAGCAAAAATAAAACAAAAGCTTAAATTAAGTATTGATTAATTTTGCTCATTAGTACAAATTATCCTTGGAACTACACAGATAAAATTGTCTGAATTTGAAAAAATGATTTAGAAATGAAGCTTCATATACTTTGTATGCTTTTGATACAATAGAGTTTAAAATATATTTTTCAGTAATATCGCTCCATAATATCACTATTAGAGGGGGAGGAGCAAAAGTGTTTCCCTTAAATCATATTGACCATTACCTTAATGTTATATTGACCATTACCTTCATATGTTTCATTTGAAATTAAAATTATTATTAAGAAAATTTACATATATTCACTAACATGTTTCAAATTTTGATGCCTTCTTTTTGTAGTGTATGTCAGTGGTATTCAGACTGTGGCTGAAGAAAATTTATAGTGAGTCACAGGTGCATAAAATTGGTATATAACTAAGGGATGATGCTCTGATTGGGGTTGCAAAATCATTTTTGGGGTTGTTTACATTTTTATGAGGTTATCTTGCCACAAAATTTGAATACCACTCATGTATATCATTATTTATCTTAAAGAGTAGAATTTCTGTTTTATTGTAATTTTAAAGAAAATTAAAATTTTGAACTATGGCTTAATGATAAATATTCAGTACAGGAATACCTGAAATAGTGCAGCTTCACTCAGTGCGGACCTCACTGTAGTGCTGTTACTAATTTGAATAATAAATTCATTCAGTACTTTTTACGCTTTTATTATTTTCCAATAATTTTAGTTAAATACTTAAATATGTTTGTTCAACAAAATTTGATAGGAATGAATTCTTGTACTATATTTTTTTAGTGTGATGATCTCATTGGACTAGTATGGCCTTAGCACAGTTTAATGAAATCACATGTTATAGTTGATTTGATTGATGTTTGTGATTGTAGCTTTTTTGTAATATGGGGTCACTTGAAATCTATTTTTTCAAGAAATTAGTAAATGGGAAAGGGACCCTCAAATTCTGTTTTTCATGAGCCCTTCGATTGAAACCTTATGCAATAATTTAGGCCTTCTTTCTTTTGCATGCTTTTTCTTAATCCAATGTTTGATTTCAACAGGGCTTTAATTAGCATTCAGTTAGTGTACGAATTATTGTACTACATATTTAAAATTGCTTGTCTAAATCTATTAACTATGAATAGATATTTTTATCCTAATTGTGATAAAACTTTGTCACCACTCAATATATCATGTAAGTGTGAGTTAGAATGATCTGAGTTAATTCTTACCTCTTCTGAAATAAAAGTCACTACAACATCAGCAAAGATGAAATAAATTGAATGTTATATTGACCATTACCTTTTAATTAAAGGCATAACTAACTGAGGAAAATTAAATTCTGTCTTACTAAAATCTAGCACTTCAGGCATGAAAACAAGACAATGCCATTTAATGACTTGAAGACACAGTAATAATTTTGGAAGAACATGTTTCAGATGGAGCAAAATTGCAATGCTTAAATATATTCTCAACATATAAGTATATACTTAGGTTCTGCTCATATATACTCATATATATAAGACTCGTATAGACTTAGGTTTCGTGTGATTTTAGGATAAAGCAAACTATTAGATTACATCCAGAATGTTTCAAATCAAGTAGTAAAATAAAGAATTGGTATTTTTTAACACAACTAATGAAAGTACATAGCACTCATTTAATTAGTAACAGACCAGAATCTGTTAATGCTAAAAGGGGAAAGAAACTGAAATGTGAATTTCTTCATTAGAATTAATTTCTTGGGTAAGGTCAGATATCATATTCTGCCTACTATATGTAACATAATAAGTACAGTAATAAAATTATTATTAAAAATATTTCAAAGACTTTTTTAGAGAATATGATTTTATTCTTTCTAGTTTATTTAGTACCAAGCAAGAGGAGAAACGGATCAACCGTCAAAACAAACGCCAGAGAAAATCAGAAAAAAATTCTAGTGATGACAGTTCACCTAAAAAAGTAAAGGTGTGTATTTCTTTAAAAAATCCACCATACTTTTAAATTAAGCTGTTTAGGATCATGAAAATGTGAGCAACAGCAACTTCTAAATGAATTATTTTTTTATTTTTAATTTCTATCATTTTAAAATTAGTTTTATATAGATGCATTTATTTATATCTTGGAGCCATCACAAGAAAAACTACTCAGTGTTCATCTTCAGCAGAATTTTTTTTTTTTTGGAAGGGGGAATGAAAGTTAAAATTTTTAAATGATGTTAAAAATGTAAGAATAATATCATGAAATTTAAGTTTTCTTAAGTCATTTTGTTTAATGCTGTAAACAGTATAAATACCTTTATTTGGTTCTGAGATTTGTCTTCAATTGCTATATATTATACTGTTATTTAATTACAAACAAAAAGTAAGAAATTTAGAACCAAATGAACCAAGACATGAAAGAGTGAAAATCAAAAATAATAAAATCCCAAATTTCCCCCCAAAATATGTAAAAAAATCAACCAGTAGTCATCAAACCAGTGGAAATACAAAAATAGCGAAAATATTTAGGAAGAGGAATGCAATTAATATCTGATACAGTGTTATTTGGAGGAGGTATATCAGATTTAATTGAACCCTTCTGCTCTTGGATAACCACTGTATTTCTGTTAATTCAAAATTAGCTAATGAAGCATTCTAAATTATTTAATTATAACAGTTCACCTGAAAATTCTGAATCCTTCCTCTACAGAGAGGAATTCTGAAAATGAAATAGAATTATACAAAAATAAATCCATATGTAATCAATTCAATGTCCAATAAAGTAAAATATTAATTATTAGACATATTTTACTGAAATAAATGCAAATAAAATGCAGTAATATAAAATATACATAAAAATTAACAAAGAACTGGAATCAGAACTTACCATTAGGCAAAAGATTGAAATTCGAAAGTAGACATCAGTGGTTGTCAGTTTGCATCATTGGCAAAACTAATTTGCTATGGCAAGTTAGAAACTACCCAAAAGGTGAATTAAAGGCAGTAGTTTTTAAATTTTTTTAAATTTGGAAAGTAAATGGTGAGAAAAATGGAAAAAAGAAACAAAGATTAGAAAAGAATAGTGTCTTTTCCAACCTTTGTTTCTTTTGTGCAGTAATACAAATATATACATAAATATACATCATGAGACTCATGATAACTTAGAATAAAGAAATAACTTAGAACTTAGAATTTTTCTGAAATTTCATGCCAATTTTTTTCCATATTTTGATTCTATGACTCAAATTATGCCTAAATATTAAATTTTGTAAAATTTGGTTCGAAATTTACAAAGAAATTAAAAAATTTATCTTGCCGTATTTTTTTCAGTTTTCGCCAAGAATAATTTACTTAGCGAACTTCTTATTTTATAGCAACCTATTTTTATTTTCTTTTTTTCATTGTAGATGAGCAGGAAAAAAGTTTCAAATAATTTTTAACAAAGTGCATAAATCACATTTTTGTTAATAACCAATGTGGCAAATTTCAAAACACGCTAAATTGTAAATTCATGTATATCTTAGGAAATACTGAATAAAAAAAACTCAAATTTTTTGCAGGTATGCTTAGAAATGCATCTACTTAAAGACAATGGTAAAAATTTTATAGGTTATAATCCCAATTTTTTTTCGAAAAATTTATTTAAAATATTTAAAAATACAAATGTAAAAAATAAGTCATAAAAAATGTGCGAACTATATTTGGATTAAGCCTAAATTCCGAATTCTTGTAAAAAATACTAGTGTGATTTTTACAAAACTTGGCAGTTTGGCATAATTTGAGTCGTAGAATCGAAATAAGGAAAAAAATTGGCTTTCAGAAAAAGTCCGATTTTATGTCAAAATACCTCTATTAGAGCAATGCTATGTATAAATCTAATACATATCCTTGAAGTGGCTCTTTCGGCACCTGAAAAACACAAGTTAAATTTCGTCAATCGGCCCAGTAGAATGGGAGATATAGAACCGCCTCCCCTTTTTTTGGGTGCAGTGTACCTTTTTTCGTAAGCTATTTTATTTTTTGATCCTGTACAATGTCTAGATTTCCTGTAGCTGTATGTTTATGTTGTTCAACCACATATGGTAGAAATCTTTCTTCACTACATTATCAAGTTGCAGAAAAACTTCTTGATGGTTGGCAATATTACTACTCATTTTTTTTTTTTTTTTTTTTTTTTTGTTGTACTTGAAGTAGACAATTATTTTAGACTCTATTGCTGGAAATTTTGTTGAGCTTGTTAAAAGACTTCTGTTTTTATAATTTTTTGTCAACAAATCTGGACCTTTCCTGTCACAAACTTCTATTCCTGTCACAAACAATCTATTGTCTTATTGTAATGTCCAGGTTTTCAACAATTTTTCATTTAAAATTAATGTATGAACCCTATAACATAGCTGCCAACTTTCTTGGTTTTTCATTACATCTCCCAGTTTTCTGATATATCATTGAATCTCCTAATTCTACATTTTTAGCCTTTACTAAGGAAAATGTTTTCCAGCAATAAATGAAATATATTGAACTATTGAAATGTGCTGAGTTGTGAAAATTCTGTCCTTTGTAGCAATTTTTGGCATAATTTTTTGTCATAAAATTTTATGTGATTTGGATTTTTTAATCTGCTCTAGACATTTGTAGATTTTATAAAATTCAGCCATATATTTGTATTTGATTTTATTTTACATCGGTACATTATTAAGTAACAAAAGTTTATTTCAGTATGAAGGTGTAAGAAATTTGCAAAATGAAATTAAAACTTAGATTATCTAATTAAATATTGATATATTGTATGTCAAAAATTTCATTAAATTGTTAAGTAACCTGAATGTCGCCCAAACATTAATGTAGTTAAGGAGCCTACTGTGGTATCGAAGGGCCCGGGTTCGAATCCCGGATAAGACATGGATGTTTGTAAATGTATAGTGTCTGTATGGCCACTCTAAATATGTGGCGAGCCGAAAGTCCTCTCGTGCAGTTTGTTGGAAGGGGAGAGGGATGGGAGATATCTGGGGTGCTCTCTCGCAAAATTGTGGTGGAAAAATAGAAGTCCAACCTCTCTTTAGAGAAGGCTCTCGCAACCATGAGTCCATGTAATATGGACATGACAACAACAACAAGTAACCTGAATCAAGCATTGTAAACATAATTTTAATTTAGAATGCTTTTAAAATGGCATTTCCATGTAATATTAAAAAACTGTGTAAACATTTAGCTTTTCATAATTCAAAAATGGCAACTTATGCTATCATCCAAGAACTTTAGTGCAAATTTTGTAAATAATTTTGTTATTATTTTTTAAATTTTTGCCTAGGCCATATTTTGATAGGATACATGATTTTCAGTTTTCCCTTTATTACTTACTCTTAATTGTTCAGTTGCTCTGGATGGTATGATTATTAGCAAACTGTTAGGCTTTGGTTTAAATCCTGGAAATGACATAAATGTGTGTATGTGGTTAAGTAGTTAAGACCACTTAGTACTAGGAGTTTTGTCCCGGCCTTAATTCCAGATGAGCAGACTGACTGCATGGTTGGTTTTTGTAGTGTTCTTCATATGTAACAATACGAATCAGAAAGTCCTCCATGAAGGCAGATAGCCCTTGTGTACTTTGCGATAATCCAGTAATCTAACCTTAACTATGATTATTCATGAAATCAACCCGTGGTGTATACGACAGATGTAGAAGTAAACTTAATAACAGGGTTATTGTTGAAATGCTGATTAAATAGAAACAAAAATGTATGTTTGAAATTAGCCATTAAACAATGTATTGTCATTATTTATAAATTATATTTAATCTGGAAAGCAAGAGGAAAAATTTCTTGTAAAAGGAAAGTGTGTTTCTTGTTCTGGATATAAAAGGAAAAATTTCTTGAGTATGTTTGAATAGCTAAACTATTAAATTTGCATTCAGTCAGTCATGAGTAATAATTTTTATTAGTCAGTTCTAGTGATCATCAAACAAAATTTGCTATTACATCTGCAAGTTTTTTGAGTTTTCCTTCATAAGTAACAATAATAACAATATTTTATTAATAAATAGTTAAAAACTAAATATGATTATATAGTTATGCTATAAATATTCCAAAGCATTATTTTTTATATAATATTGATCATGAAAACGTGCAGATTATTTATTCATTTACTTAATTTATTTTCTCATTTAATCTATTTTTCCTTTTCAGAATGAAGATACTGTATAGCAAAAATTTCTATCTTCTGTGTTACAGAATTGCATTTTAATGTATATAGTTAATCATTCAGAATAAACATATTTTACTTTTTGCGATATGAATTTTTTTAGTATCTATTTTAATTACGTGAATTTCATTTATTGAAATTATAGAACAATCTTCGTTTTGTTACTTTTCCCATAAATAAATAAAATAATTTTGTATACATATAACAGATTTTCTCAAATGAAGTTTACAGCTTCATGTTTGAGTAACATAAAAGCTACAAGAGACAAGTTTATTTTTCAGGGTAAATTTTTTAAAAGTTAATAATAATGATTTGAGCCCAGTAATCAGACTGCCTCAGTATGTGCATTATTAGCTGCTTTCCTGTATCTACTATAAAATGTGCAGCCTATAGCTACTATAGTTCAGCTGTCTTAGTCGCAACCATAAGTACAAACACACATGCTCCATTTGGACTAATGTATTCTCAAATTAGGATGGATGAAACCATGTCATAGAGATTTTTCCATTTTTTACTTTTTCCTTGTTTATTTACATGGCATTCAAAGGGCACAGACATAAGAAAAGAAAATTACTTTTAAGTAATTTAAGCTGATATGCTGGAAACCTATTGACCCGTTTCCTTCTTTTACTACAAAAAGAATACTTAAGTTTACTTTCATGATTTTTATGACCTTATCTTTGAAATTAAGCATAAAATATGGATCATTCATATAAAATTCTTAAATTATTTTTTAAAAATTAAACATTCTCGGCTTCTGAGCTTCTTGAAAAACCAGTGTGAATCTTGGCATTTATGTCTGTAAATATTTAAAAAAAAAAAAAAAAAAAAAAAAAAAAAAAAAAAAGTGTGAAAGACGATGATAGCACCATCCGATGGCATGGGGACTTTCCCTTCATTAGTAATATCAGGGTTTGTACGGTCCTTAAGAGTCCTTAATTTTGGCCAAAATCAGCAGATGGTCCTTAATTTTAATCATGTGAAATTTCTGTCTGTTTTTACGACTTCCATTTTGAGTGTGAATTAGCAGTTTGGAAGTATATTTTTGGCGATTCACTGATAAATATGGTTATTTGAATGGATTATGATTTGTTCCTATTTCTAATGTAAATGGTGGGATACTCGAGTTTCTGAGCAAGAAGTGAAACATGTATTTCGAAATTATTTCGCTTTTCTAATGAAGGGCCCTTAAACAATTTTCCGCTTTTGGGGATGTGAATTCTTTTATTGAACGAATCTAATTTTGGCGATTTATCAACATTTTGGCGATTTTTAAGATCAGTTTCTATAGAAAATTTTAAATTCTTAGAGCTGGGAATTTTTTGACGATTTTTTTAAACATTCTAACATTGATAAATTTCATTAAAATAATGGTATTATATTGAAATTACATTTAAAAAGTAACATATTAATTTAAAAATATCTTTTCAATTTTTTCATGATAAGAGCTTTCTCATGTAATTGTCTCAGAGTGTTCCGAATTCTCAGAATATGCATCAGTTTTCTCTATAAAATTAATTAATTAATTTCACACTTTTTTTTCGTCTGAATTTTTTTTTTTTTTTTTTTCCCAAAATATTTCTGGCTGTTTGCTGTTACAAAACTGGTAGGGGTAATTTTTCTTTGGGACATTAGACATTGCAACTTGGAAAGCTTAGAAGGATTTGAAGGGAAGATTTATAGACCCACGATTCCATAAGATTTTAAGATTTTAGAAAAATTTGACAAAATTAAAAATGTCGCTATGGTATTAACACGTAATGGATGTATTTTACAGAAAGTTTGCAATGAATTTCTTACTTTTTGGATAACATCTGGAAGAACAATGAAAACATAATATTTGAATGTTTTACTTCTGATAGTAGAATCTTTTTCTGAACATGCTTATCTTCCCTTTATTTTCTCTACTTTTGACGAGACACAAGTATGGAAAATATTAAAAATGCTTCTAATCTTATCACATAGACAGGCATTATAGAAAGGAATTTTTTGATTAACAAAGAACTTGAAAACTGGCAATTTAAAACCTTCATCTAATATGTCTTAATGCATCATACATTGGTCTGACACTAGGCATTTTCCCACCTAGTGCAATCATGTGGAATATTAAACCTCTCTGTGTAGATCCTAAATTTTGCTGACTAGTGCCTTTCTAAATTCTGCTTCCAGTGCCTGCTCTAAATTCTAAAAGTTTTGCCATTTCTACATTTTGTTGCTGGGTGTGTCACTAAATTCTAAAAATTCTGCCACACCAGCTCTGTAACCGCCCCTTACTATATATATTTCATATCTCTTGTGAATAACTAACTAATATTACTAAAGAAATAAAATTATCAGCTTTTTCTATACATTTTAAATGCATTTAGTTTTTTTAGAATAACAGAAATATTTAATTAAATCTAAAAATTCTAAAATGAAAAGAAAATATAGAAAAAAGAAACTGAATATATAAAATTATTCTTCAAAGATATGTACAGTTATTATTATGTAAATTCCCCAGTTGTTTACAATTTCAGCTTTTACTGTAATTTCCCATTTGTATTTTTCCCCCAGAATGGGAATCACCTACACATTTTTTAAACTGAGGTGTTTGAAGTGTAAGACGAGTGTGTTTCTGACTTCCACTTACTCCTTGCATTAGTTCCTGCCGGCTCTGATAATTTGTAATTATTCGTCTTTGCATTACTGCTGCTGACATTTGAATTTGTTATGACAGTAGAGTTACTGAGCCAGCTTAAAATTAAATTGTATAGTCTTTGACCACTAGTCCACATTTTTTTTTGTTTGAATTTGATTGTTCTTCTTTAATTACATCACTCCAAACTTTAATTGATTTGGTTAGCATAAGAACATACCTTTAAATTCTTTTTAAATAAGAGGCTTATTTAAACCTTTGTCTGACTTTGTAATTACTTTGAGACATAGTGATAATTTTTCTCACGTCTGTTGGGAGTTTTTGAACTATTTAGCTTTTACCAGATCAAGTAAACCCTTATAGGTACATTGTGGAGAGGTTGACAATTTAGGAGATGAAGAACACAGAAACTAATGAGAACATTGGTTTGCATATTGAGAGAAATTTCTAATTCTTAGTAAACATGCTTAAAGAGAAGGAAATCTATATAAATTAGCCAAAATGTCTGGCCAGGCTTCGAATTAAAAAGAAGCATAAATATTTTGTTGAGTGTTGTTGCTATAAAACATAAATGTTTTGTAGCTTTTAATGTATAATTATCCTAATATCATTGAAGAATCAATGACATAAATTGCATGCATTTTAAAGTGTGAAATTTTATTAGATTGTGATTTTAATAGGGACTTTTAACAGTATTGTTAAAAAAATAAGTAAAATTTAATAGTGGTCATGTAAATCCATAATGACTAAGGTTATCTAACTATCTAATTTAATTTATAACTAACTGCTTACCCTTAAAAATTGTCTGTGCATACTGAAGTGATTTATTGCCTTTCATTATTTCTTAGTGTGGTACAAGGTAAAACACAAAAATGTAAAAATTCATGTAAAGTTTATTCTAGTGAGACCTAAAATAATACAAAGCAGCTTAGTGTCACCTCTGGTGCTTTAGTGGCTTATTGGAACCTTAAAGTATATTAACTGGATTACATCCCCTGGAACTGTACACGGAGCTACGACACCTTAAAGTATATTAACTAGGTTTTAATCCTTGGAACTCTACAAGGAGCTACGACACTAACTGCAACAGACAGAGCCCAACTAACTTTAAAAACTAGCTAACCATGCCCACATCAGGCCTTTCAGTTTTGTTCTGGTCTGCAGGTCTCTCTTTAGGCAAGCTTGACATAAAATCTACCCGGCTATTTACTAAACCTCTAGATTGAGCAAGTAATGAGACATAAAAAAAAAAAAAAAAAAAAAAAAAAAAAAAAAAAAAAAATCCAACATGAAGCTATAACTATTAGTAAAACGTAAATAAAATATCACTTATCTTCTTTCAAATATGCTGAACTATTATAAGTGTTAAATATTTAATGCTGTTTGACAAATTTCATAAAGTATATTTTATACTCAAACTTACTAATAATTATGAGTTATATTTAATAATAATGCATCCTACTTAGGGATCTATTTTATTTTTTGGATGGTATTACAAAAGGGAATTTCAGGCATAGATAATATTTTTAATTGAATTTATTAATTTGATATTTGCTCATAGGTCCTTAATTTTTTCATTAATGGCCCTTAAAAGTACTTAATTTCCATGTGCAGAAATATGTATGAAATTTCTAATAATATAAATTCCCTTTTTCCAGTGAAGAGAGAACTTTCACATGACGTCTCACCTTGTGGCACGTAACCAACGTCCCTTTTGGATGATTCTATGTGTTTGGGCAGAATGTTTGCCAATGTTGCATTCAAGTCAAACTATATAAAATGTCAGTTGTCTGTACTATATAAATGTTATTAAAGTATCTTTACTTAATAAATATAAGGCAATATTTTTTTTTTAAATAAAAACCATAAAAACAACCTTGAAGCCAGCTAGTTCACTTGGGCTGGACTACAGGAAAAACTATCAGTATCTAGTAATCTTTAACTGCTCTGCCAGTGGTGGAAACTGCTTAAATTAGAAACCATGTTTTTAGTCTCTAATTTACTTTGATTTGCAGACAATTAAAATATTATATGCTCAGGCTCAAAAGGCAGAGTTTTGGTTTTGTTAATGCATTGTTTTAAAACTACTAAACTGTAGTGCAAATAAACAGCCAGTTACATTTGCTATTAATGTATTTACTTAGTTTTTCATGAAAACTGAGCTAAAGACAGTATGATTATCTCCTTTCATTATTCACCCTGGGAAGATTAAACAAGTAAAAAGTAATTAAATGATATTAAGTTTATCTGACATTCTGAAGTGCAAAAGCAATTCTTTGGTTAAACGTCTGAGAATTGATCAGATAAATTTCATCTTATATTTTTTAGTTAGAAACTGTTATTTCAAAAGCATTGTATTGTTTAATAATGAGTCCTTCCACTAGTGAATAACCACTTCGCAGAGCAATTGTGTCCTGAAAGTATGTGACTCAGTCATCTCACACGTTCTCCAGATTTGTTTTCATGTGATTATTTTCAGTTTCCAAAAACTTAAGTGTCTTTTCAAAGGAAAGTTTTATCTGACATGGGAGAATTAAAAGAAATGTGGCAAAAACAGATTTTTAAAAGCTTTCTGTTTAATTACTTGTATTTGCTTTAGAACAGGAAGTTGCATCAGTGCAAAATTCAGCACCATTTCTATTTTTTAATACTCTGATTATTTAATTGCTAAAACTTCTAAAATTATATATTAAAGCTTCTTGAAAATTTTTGACTGAATTGTTTTGAACTTAAAATTTGAAGGTCAATAAAAGTGATTCACTTTTTCCATGAAAGCAAAAATCCTATGTGTGGTATACCTATATCGAAGTGCATAGTTTAAAGTTAAGTATTTAACAAAATAAACTAAAGCTTTAAGAGTTTGATAGTTTTGATTGTATCTCATCTTTTGGTAAAAATATATGAAATATAAATTTTTATATTAGATTTTTTAAGAAGAGTGTTTCAGATAGCTAGTTTTTCTCATATTACAGATAATTTTAAAAAAATATTGTCTTAATTTTTAAGACAACATTTTTAACTTTTTTTTTTTTTTTTGTAATAATTTTTAAGACTAGCAACTGGGTCTTAAAAATTATCATAATTATATGATTTAGAATATTTTTGCCCAATATTAAGATTGTATCACATGGTAGGGGAGAATAAATTCTACATTCTATTGAACAGGAATGTTTGAAAGATGCTTTATTATTTGGTAAGTACATTTTAACTCAACTGTTTGTTCTCTGTATTTTATTTTAAGCTTAATTTACAGTTAAAATATCTAGAAATTGTAAAGCAGTTTCCCTGAAAGATACAACTAAAGTTTTAAGGGAATTTGATGAGAATACGAAATTTGTGTGAATAATAACTATCAAAAAAATGAATATTCTTGTGTCTTTGTCGAAAACAAATATTTCTTAAAGAAGGAAATTAGAGGAAAGAACTACAGTTTTCAATAAAGCTGCTTCAAAGTATTTGCCTTTTCAAGGTGAAAATATCTAGATTTTCAAACCATGTTCTGCTGGAGCTTTTTGGTCAATTTAGTGGTTCATGTGTTCCAGTAAATTGGACAGTGCTAAAGAAAAGACCTAAGAAATAACACTACATATGAGTATGATGGGTGGCCATTTTTCAGCTGAATGGCTGTATAAATTTAAATTACATCATAGAATGACATATTATATATAAGCGGAGAATACACATATATTTCAGCCTAATTTATTGAAAATTCAAGAATTTATTCAAAGGAAGTATATGGATATCAGCTAAAGACATTTTCAGTATTGATAAAGCAGTCTTTCCTTTCATCTGATACCTTCAGTATGGCTAGCTTCAAAAGATATTCAGTATCATGGTCCAAATTGCTTCCTTATTTTACTCTGGCCAAATACTGATGAAATGGAAGATGATACCATTAGTACCAGCCCAGATTCACAGACTGGCTGTTACAGGCTCACAACTCATCCATCCATCACAAAGACTGCTATTATGTTATTCTTTCATCCTGAGATATTGCATCCGAAAGCAAAGAACAAAGTTATTGTCAACTATATTAAAGCTATTGTCAACTATATTAAAGCTCTCTTTTCTACTTCCTAAGTCAGCATTCACTCGCAGTCTTAAAACAATTGCAATTGATGAATATATAGCTTCTTTCATTTCTGTCATACAAAATCTAAACTGTAGGGAGAAGAATATGTGTGCGTCTATGAATTTGTCTGCAGGTGTTCAGCTTGCTTGCTTTGCTATACTTGTTTAATTCGTATGCCATTTTCATATAAAGTTGTAAAGGTAGAATATTTATGAAAAATCTTTATACTATTTTGCTTGATATAGCAAAATTTAGAGGCATATCAATGAAATTCTGCCTATAACAACACTAATAAACCAGCATGTGAATATTTCCTAAGAGCGAGCCCACCATCGGTACAATTAGTACAGTCCCTAAACACTGCTAGTTTGACCTGGGTCAGATTGCAGGTGGACACACTGGCTGCATGAGCATTTTCGAGGTTTTCCATTGTGAAACATGGATATGAGCTAATTTCCTTCAAAAGTCCTCCATGATGACAATCCTATCCTTAGGCAGATAACCCTCGAGTGCTTTGCCTAAATCAAATATAAGGTTGAATTGTGATCACTGCATGTGAATTGTGATCGCCAGCGTGTCTGTCAGGAGAGATTTTGATTAGGATTTCTCTTCAAGTATGAGTTCCCTCTGAATTGAAGCCTTTTGGTACATAAGCAATGTATATTGCTTGTGTACCATGAAGAAAAGCATATATCATAACAAATTAGTATATAATGAGAACCAGATGATTCCAATTTTACCCATACATACTGCAAATTGAACCAGATTCTTTTTGCATGTTCTCTTTCTGTGCTCAAGTGCTTTGCTTTTTTATACTCATTACTTTGCAAGCAGGTATACTAAATTGATATATCTGCAATAAATGTGTGAAGGTATTCTCTGACGATTCTCATTCATTTCATGAGAAACAGAAAAATGTAGGAAAGAACGAAAATATTGCCTTCTTTCAAAGTTCTTTTTTCTATTTGTCAAGGGCTGTTAGTCTTGAAACGGCATTTTGCATTAAATCACTTTGAATGTCTGAATCACTTTTCAAATTGTTGCCACCAAATATTATCGTTCTGTATTACATTTAAAGAAACTAATAATGAAGAATATACATGAATAAATGTATGTATGTCTCTCACATTGTGAAAAAGCAATAGTACCTAGAGTCTTCAAATTATGAATAACATAGTCCTCTACGGAAGCATGGGCACCTGGAAGCCGGAATTTGGAATTTATTTTACAGTCTGTTTCATAGTTCTATATTTATTATATTTATTTTATAGTTTTTTTTATATTTATAGTCAACAATTTCAAAGCGAGCAGTGGCAACACTGTAGGAAATAAAATATTTTTATCTCCAGCACCTGGATGCGAAGGTGCGTTGTCAAGAATGAACAGAGATTTTTCTTGGCAAATTGTTTTTCAAATGTTTTTGTACGAATTCATTTTGGAACCAGGTTTTAAAAATTTCTGAATTCATCCATGCTTTTTTTATGTGTGTAATATAGGAACATTGATTCCTGACTTTTTAGTTTTTTAAAAGCTCTAGGTTTCTTAGAATTTCCTATTAACATCAACCTAAGTTTGTGATCGCCGGTTGCATTGCAAATTGATGACTCGTTCTTTGCTTTTCTTTTATTCCGGCTCAGCGGCTTCTTTTTTAATGCAAGTGCTTTTGCAGTGAATATCTTATAATATAAACCCGTGTCATCGCAGTTGTATAACTGCTCCCAGAAATTTCCTCTTTTTCTGTAAGCTTGAAAAAATGGTCTTTGAACACAGGTGCAGCCTCTTTATCAGCATATAATGCTTCCCCACTTACAGTAATTTGGCGAACGCCGAATCGTTTTTTCCAGCGATCTAACCATGTATCACTAGCAGTAAACTGAATCGTGTCCTTCTGTTTGTCGCTTAAATTCCAAAACCTTTTTCTGCAATATTGGCCCACAGGGTCCTTTTCCTCTTAAGTGTTCATGCCACAAAAATACAGCTTTTTCAACTTCTTTATCAACAACTTTTCTACCTTTCAGCATGGCTTTTCTTACTTTTATTCCCCTTTCACTGGTTTGCGCAGCACGCCACTTTTCAATTTCTACTCGATTTTTTCCAAGTTTGAACTACATGAACTACATAAGCATAACTATTACATGTATATATTTCCTGTTCTATATTCATGAACTGTCATTTGTCACGGAACATTTAAAGTTATAACCGTCAGCTTATTCTACTTTTTGTTTAAAATATGTTGCGTTTATCTCTCCAAATTTCGTTTTGCTTATAATATTTCTTATGTCAAAGATCATTCGAAATATTTCATAATTCGTAGAAATCAGTCAGTTTTGACTCAGGTGTTGATACCATGCTCCTGGAACAAACTTAAACATAACGTGTGTCCCAAAATTCATGCAAGATTTAAACTTGAGCCATTTCTGCGATAAAGGGTTGGCAACGAAAAAAAAAAAAAAAGCGTGACATCTGACTGTTCAGGTTCATTAAAAATGGAGCGTTTAACACATTTTCATTGTTGATAAATATTTAAAAAATAATGAATATTTGGCGGCTACAGTTAGCAATTTTCGTGCAAAACACGGCCGGAATTAACTTCCTCAGCTGTGAAGAGATTAATTAAAAATTTAGAGAGACTGTATTAATTAGTGATCTGAGATACTCTGGCAGTTCTTCAAGAAATTGTTCAACATAAAACATGGAAGCAGTTCGAGAGAGTATTGCTGATAGTATAAGAACATTAATTTA